TAATATTACTAAAATTAATATTTAATATTTTATAAAGAAATTAACAATTTTTTTAATTTCGCAGGCAAATTTGCCTGCTAGACAATCTAAGGGATAGAAATTATAGAAATTATAGATATTATAGAAATTATAGAAATGTAAGAAATTTAAGATTAGCGATTATCAGATTCACAAATTACTAAATGTAATTGATATAATGTTGTGTATTCTAAATAAATTATCACAAACTAGTAGATCACTAGTAATTTGTAGATTACAAACAAAAATTGTTCAGTAATTTTTGGAGTATTATTACTAACAGTGTATTACTAAAGTTGATGTTAATTTATTTCTAATATTGCATATCTCATATAAACATCATAACTATTCAAAATATTGATAATTGGAAAAAATCGTATTAGTATAGATAAGTTTAGATAAAATAAAAAACTGTTGTGATATGCAGACATTAATATAAAAACAATTTCACTTTGTAAAGTATGATTCAGAGTTACAAAGTAAATCACATAATTTATTTGTATTCTAAGTGACTCTGATGGTCAATTCACATATATATTCATATTTTTTTTATAAATAAAAAATTTTTGCTAAATTCAATTGTAACAGTTTTTAAATCACATATTTTTTTCTAATAGAATTTACTAATAAAATAAAGCATTCAGTATGATAATTTTCATGGAATTCTAATTTTTGCATAATGTATTCTTTCTTGAAGTATTAGCTTCTATAGAAGATAATCTAATTATTTAGTGAAATATTTTTTGAAATTTAGTCAAAAATAATGAAATGTTTTCTTTCTGAAAAAATTCATTTTTGAGAGGAAGGATGAGATATATATACATCTCATATCACAGAAGCGTAACCCATTATTTGAGAAAATTAATCCAATTGTAAAGTCATTTTTAAAACATGAAGTTATTAGTTATTAAAAAGATTAATGTGTTAGAGATAAACCCAAAATTGGTCAGAGTGCTCATTATTTAAAAAATACCATGTGTATATGTTTCAGATAATGATGAAATCTGCTCAGACTGATAGTATTACCTGTGATCACGAGAAAGAAAACAATTGCTAGGTCATGAATGAACTTAAAGTACTTTACCAGCATCTGTTAATTATAATAAAAGAACTTTTAAAAAGTTCATGTGAGACACAAAAAAGGAATATAGAGAGTAGGTTAATGCAAATGATAAATTTCAATATAAAATTGAAAATCTAAAGATGCAGGTATAGGAGGCAGAAAAAAAATCATATTGATAAAACCAAATTTTACTTGCTAAAATCTTGGAAAACTATATCCCAGCCAGCCCATATTCTGTATGTATGTTTTAAGAAAGTGTTAAATCAAAGATGATAAAATTTGATCAAATAAATATCTTTATATAAGATACGTCAGTCATTAGCATATAGGCTGCTCAATTCTTCTGAAGGCTAGGTGATTAGGTTGGATCATTCCAATCAAATCCATTCCAGTCTGGATTAGTCCAATGACAACACTAGGTCTAGGTTAATCTGCCTGAACCCTAGGGGTCTATTTTAAATAGCCTTAACTAGAAGTCTAGGATAAGAACACTCTTTTAAGAAGTATATCAACAAATCAAATCAATCGCAAGATTTTAAAAAATGTCACTAAGTTTTTATTAATTCTATAGTTATTTTTTAATTAATAAAATGTATAAAATAATAATATGTATTTTTTATTATTAGCTTAAAATATATTATTGTAGCATATTCGATATAAAAAAACTTAATTTGTAGTTTATTTGTAAAAATATGAATGTCTACATCATAAAGGTAACTACGATAATATATCATATCCTTATCTATTAGAAAAAAATACTGGCTAGTTAATAATAATTACAAATAACTTTAGTTTTTAAATCATTATATGAATAATGCAAATATGTTCTAAGTTATTTCAGTATTTAACCTGTGTCTCATAAGCTTCTAAGCATTAAAGCTTATATAGACTGTGCTTAGTTCTCTATCCAGATTTATATGGATACTTGAGACTAAGTTATTTCGGTATCTAACCTATGCCTTAAAGATCCTAAGCATCAAAGCTTATATAGCTTGTGCTTAGTTCTCTATCCAGATTTATATGAATACTTGAGACTAAGTTATTTCAGTATCTAACTTGTGCCTCATAAGCCTCATAAAGATCCTAAGCATCAAAGCTTATACAGCTCAGACCACTTAATCACGGCAAATTTTTTGTACCAATTTTAAAATTTTATACAAAGCTTATTTAGTTTATAATTAAAAAATTCTTTCCATTTACTTAAAGTACATAACCTAAGCTATAAAAAAATGTATTCATTTTTTCTGATTTATGTATGCAATTAAAAGTTATTAAATGTTAAATTTACTATATTTTAATATAAAAATGAAAATTTGGCCACAAAGATCGTTGCCTTTTTAGGTTAATTGATGTAATTTTTTTTATAAAAAAGCTGTTGATTATATCGATCGTATTGTTTGTGCTCACTTATAATGCCACGCTTATTGAAGCAACAGGCTCACTTAAAAAAAATAATCTAACCTCCCACAAATTTAAAATATCAGAGGCAGAAAGTACTGATGAATTAAGTGATGAAGGTTCAATGCTTTGGTGTACTGAAGAACTGGAAAATAATGTGAAAGAAACTTTACAACTTTTAATGAATGGTGCAAAAAGCATCATCCTATCCAAACATCCTTTATGCTATTTAGGAAATTCTTCCTAAACCCAAAGAAGGAGCAAAGCCAAAGAAAAAAAAGTTGCTGCTGAACATAAAAAAAAGATTACTGATTTTTTTAGTTTTACATCAACTGAATAAGCTGATTCAATTTTTGAAAATGAAAACTCACTTACAATAAGTGAATCTAGCCAAGCCTCTGAAGATGAATTTAATCCACAAACTGATGATCAGGAGTCCAACGATGATGAGGATTTTAACAAGAAATATTTGTTATCTGATAATGAATTAATTAAAAAATTGAAAATAAAATTAGTGATAATAAACTTCCAGCTGGTTTAAAATGAAAGTTAACTGCAGTTTTACAATATCTTCAGTTAACTAAATTTAATAAATACTTATCTTGCATAGTCTATTCGTGAATAGACTAATATTTTAAAAGCTGGTGGTAATCTTCCAGAATCATTTCGAGAAAGACATCCTAAAATTAAAAGTATTTTGGAAAATGAGGATATTCAAGCTGAAATTGTTTTATTTTTATGTGAAAATAAGTTTGAATTTTACATTGCTGATTTTGTAAATTATGTTTCAGATGTTATTTTACCAAAACTTGGAATTGAGCACACAAAAAAAATTGGATAATTATTATTTTTTTTAAGATTATTTATTATGTAATAATACTAATCATTTATTATTTTTCTTTTTATATAGAAATT